AAAGGCGAAAGCCTTCAAACTTTGCTTGGGGGCCCCCCACTCACATACAATGAATGGTTCAGATTCTCATGGGCGGCGAAAGTGTGTCCAAAAGTGTCGATACCCTTGAGCGTCGGAGTAAATTGAGCTATGTTATGCTTATATATATAGGAAAATCCCGGCCATATGTCCCGCAGAGATGAAAGAAATTTGTCCAACATTTAAATCCTTTAACGAGACTGCAGAGCTTTCTCAGCGTTTCCAAGCACTCGTCCAGGAGTTATGTACAACACATTACCGCGACTTGTCGTTTTTTAGTGCTTTTATAGTGCTTTATGGTCCTTTAACCTACAAGCACCACTGGGCATGTTATGTCCATTTTCAAACATTTACAAAGACTACTGCCTCTCTTCCTTTAAGTCACCAACCTATCCGCAGATTGTTAATGATAAGAGAGAATAAACAAAAGCAGTAATAGTTAAATTATTTTCATGGTAATCATAAGTGACTGAAAGTCACATCGTGATCTGATTTGTTATAAGAATATTTTCCGCTTTCAACTAAAAAATGAAATGGGAAATGATCTCAATCGACTTGGATAGATCAGTAAATAAATAAAATATATATATAAACAAGAGTTTACTTTGCACCGTCTGTGCCTTACTCTTGATCGTCATACGATTTGACATCGATTTCTCCTGTCAATCTAATGGTCATCATGGTCGATGAAAGATTCCCGTTTTCACGGCTTAGAATATTAAAACTTAGCCTATGGCATCCACGGTTGATGACCATAGAATAAATTTGGAAACGAGCGTCAAACGTCTACAAAGATATCTACAACAATAAACAAAACTTTGTAAACATAAGAAACATTCTTCTGAAAAGCCATTGTAGATATTCTGCCGGATGATCAACTTATGTTCTCACGTTTAATTATTTTGAAATTATAATCTAGATGTTTGAGGTCATGGGTATAGTCAAATAATCGTCGCCTTAAGGCGAATACAGTTTTGTTGATTGTTCTCTCTTGCTATAAATTTTATTACATTTTAAATATTTAACTCGAATGATGTCACTATAACCAACAAAAAAAAAAAAAAAAAATGAATCCACCAACTCTCTGCTAATATTTAATAGTTGACCTTGCAAGGAGTGCTCTTGCCGACGTTAATTATGCGGTAGGAATATAATGCGCATACCTACATACAAATTTTCTGATTCGATTATAAATGTAATTCTATTCAATTCAATTCAATTCAATGGAACCGGTAACGCGCGAAATTTCAGTTCAATGCTTTATTATCGAAACTCGGCAATGTTTCCAAATTAAAAAGTATGACATACATGCGATGATTATATATGTACGTATACATGTGTGTAAAGACAATATTTTGAAGTGGGTGTAGAATTTTCGATGGATATAAATTTAATTTTTAATTATAAGTTGACCAGTTTTTTTTTTTACGTATTTTCAATTCTTTTATATTTTTTTATTTTTAATGCTTTATTTATGTTTTTTTCGATTGCATTTATCATATAATCGTGACTTTTGTCACATATATGTTTTGATGTGTGTGCACGCATACATATGTGAATCTAAATTTTGTTTTTTTTTTTTTTTTTCATTGTTGTTGTTGTAATTATTGACATTTTCGCTTTTGTATGCGATATGTATTCGCTTTGTGTATACTTTTGTTGTTTATTATTTCACGATTTTATATTTGAAGCCTTGACCTTGTTGCTAAATAAATTAAATAATTTTACATTAAAAAGTTATATGCTATGCGACATATTATCTGTTGACATCAATGCCAATATATGTAATTACCTCTATGCGATGGGTATATACAAGAGGAATGCAAAAAGCAAATTAAAGAAGAAAGAAATCCGAAGTGATTATTAATTGAAATAATATATAGAGCGTAGAGATCGAATTTTTTATTAGTGACAATTTGTTTGTGTTTGTTATCCCTTAAGACACAGACTGCAGGATTTTTTCTTTAATGTGCTCCGCATAGAAAATGCAGAGCAAGAGATTTGTATGTCTCAAGGTACGTACATTCTTTTATTTCTTAACTTCTCTCAAACATGAACGCGTTTGCTTAAAGTGTCATGAGAAGACAGAAGCCCTAACTTCGCTTCGCAATTGGCAAACACACTCTGCTGGTATACGAAAATTGTTTTCATAGCTGACAAAGACTCCTATATGAAGTCAAAATTGTCCGGTTTGCAGCATCCAGATGTGCTGGAATTAAACATGTTTCTCTGTCTGTAGGCGTACTCGTCTTTACCCTTGCTAGAGTCCCAACTCTGAAAAATATGAAGCAGAAAGTTAAAAACTCCACCGCCAAAAAAGTTAAGCAGATTTAAAAAAAAATTGAATGCCATTATGTCGAAAATAAAATTTCTTATGATTTCCTGCGGATAGCAATTTTAAAAATTTTTGCAAACATTCACTGGCAGAATAGGAAGACGATTGTTCAATTGAGGGATGTAAGAAAAACCCGTTCAGCGGAGATAGACATAAGCCGTAAGTAACTTCATTTTTATGAAATTTTCAATCATAAGCAAGTCAACTGTTATTAATTTTTTTCTTTTCTTTTTATAAATTTTAAAAAATTTCTTCAATTATTTTGTCGGAAACTCATTAAAAATATTTTCGTATTTTAGAGAGCAAAATATGAAAAAGTAATTTCTCATAAAGGTTATGAAAACGTGAACTTTATATCTATCGCAAATTAAAAATAACTTGCTTTGAAAATACATTTCCTTAAAAACACAAATACGTTAAAGTTTAACTCATTAAAAATAAACAAAAAAACGGAGTAGAACGAGCAACAAATATTTGCTGCCTTTCCCTAGAGTTTTCCCAAACTTGTAATAACAGCCTCAATATGTCAATTAAATCATTGTATTACATGACATTGCGCGATATATTTATCACTTAACTAAATATAATAACATTACTAGAATAATATAAGAGAGATGCTTAACATTTTCGGATTGTGTAAGCAACAAAAGAAACTTTCTTTTCGCTAATCTTGCGAAAGGTTAATTTTCCATAGCTTTCAAGTTAATTTGCGAGTAAGCGAATATTTCCGTTTTGGGCGCAAGAGTGTACTTTGACCTCTTAATTGAAGAAAGTACTGACAGAAATATGTACATGTGAAAGAAAAACAAAACTACTCGCATGAAATAAAACAAAAGTAAACAAAAAACGAGAGAGAGCAAAAGAGAGAGAAACCAAAGGAATATTTACTTTTGCTCTCTACACGAAATGTCAAAAAAAGTAAATACAAAAATTCCAATTGGAGAAACAAAATGAATTATAAAACCTGCAGATAAATATGTGATAAAAGGAAACCGAAAATTAAACGATAATTGCAAATAAAAAGAATACGAAAAAAAAAAAAAAAAAATGTGATCATTCGACGCGCTATCGCATAAGGTTTTAAATGTGTTCAATCGTGGCTTTATGAAACAAAAATTTATTATATTATGGCAGGTACGTACGTATTTAGAATTATAAAAATATGAATTAAAATTCAAAAGCATATTTGCAACACTGCGTTTAAATAGAGAAACAAAGCGTAAAAAAAAAGAAACAAAAAAAAAATACTAAACAATAGAGCAACAGAGCAGCGGGTATCAATCGATTAACAGAAAAGCACAAACGTACATGTAATGCAATAAAATTCAATTAATTTATTTTTTAATTTACGATTTTTTTTTTTATTAAGAATTATTTTATAAACTGTGCACAGTGAATAGTGATAAGAGCAAAAGAGAGCAGAAGAGCGGAAAAACTTCTATACAAAAAGGGTATGTGGGGTATAGAAATTCGCGATAATATGTAGTATAACCTTTAACAAAGATTGTATGAGAAAATAACAAGTTTTTGTACTTTTTTGTTTTTTTTTAATACAGTTTATGAGTCGCGTTAAATCGTTAAATTTTAATCGAAATAAAAATAAAATAGAATACTTATTTTGTTGTGCTTTACCTAAACTAATTGTAGCTTTGTAGCGAACATTTATATTGAATTCTTCCATCCTCAAAACGATCGATTTGAAATCGCTCTACTTATCGTCAAAGTTCGAGGCGACAAGTTATTTTTATTATTTTCTATGCAACACAAAATGCTTATAAAGGATAAAATGCTAAACATATGCACATAAATTCTCCATTATTCCTCTTCTTAGATCTGACGGGTTAGTCGACTTTTACCCTCGGTCATATATGTCTGAAAAACTGTTACATTAAATATCAATTATGATTGAATGTCCACAAAATATGAATTGTCGTTGCTGAGAAGCGGTATTGCCTTTTGTAGTAGCCAGGACTCTCAAATCAAGAGTGAAATTACGTCGGCGTCTTTTCTTTCTATGACATTGCCGGCGTAAAGAATTCCCGGCCTTCTTTAGAACATGTAAACATTTCTTCTTCCAGACACATCCACCTCAAATATTTCCTTATTTGACAATTTTTATATTAATGGTCCATGGGTTTTTCAGTAATTTCCGTTAAACAGTATAGGTTCTCTCTACGCGAAATCTTTTAATTTATAAAAATCAAATAAAACAAAAGCACCTCTTCTTCTTCTAGTGTTGGTGATAGCTTTTTTTGTTGTTTTATTTTGCAAATATTCATTCAACTAAACGCGGGAATCCAAATCCGTGAGATAAACGTACATGTGCAACCTCAGCACTTTTTGCTTTTTAACACAACTAGCAATGAAAAACGCGCTTATAATACCCTACACTACACTTCAACGTAGCACAAAAAAGTATTTAACGCATGGTTAGCTGATGTGTATGCAAAACTTACTTTATGAAGAATATTGCTGTCTCGCTTATTTTAATTAAACACATTTTGTACTCGAGTGGTGCCTGAGCGCGATATTGCGTTGTTGTTAATGTAATAAGCATTTGCGCCAGTTAGTTTATTGAGATGCAAAAAAAAATGTTGAAACAAAAAGAAATAAAGCAAAATGGAGAATAGAATTAATATTAACTTACGATAAGATTATTACGTGCTGTTGTAGTTGTACTTGTTGTTGTTGTTATTAAATGTGGTAAAATATCAAAGGAATCATCTTCTTGAGCTTTTAACGATACCAAATTCTCTTTATCATCTAAGTCGGAGACCGTGTCGACTAATTCCATGTCTCCAACATCATGATGATGGGCAGCAGACACTTGTGGCATTTTATCGTTAACTTTTAATTTAGAAATATTCGTTGCATCCACTTTGATTTTCATATTTACGAACTAATATGAGCGAAACGCGTGGCGAAAGGTAATTATTAATATTTCGGAAGTAAATTTTTGAAGTCTACACGCCGCTACTACAATTTTCATCTACATACATTATACGAAAAAACACAACCATTCTTTTTGCCTATATTTTAGCTTTAAAAATATTCAAGACACACCTTACAATAGCAGTTTGTGGTTGAATTTGTTTATAATTTACTGGTAACCAAAAACAAATAACAAGAAAAAAAAAGACACTTTTTTTTTTACACTTCACCGATTAGTTACAATTCTAGAAACAAATTTTCATATATTTACACAAAAAAAAAACTCATAGCTATTGCAATAATTTTTGTTGTTTTTTTTTTTTTGTTGTTTTTTTATGAAAAACAAAGAACGTAAGAATGAAATGAAGAAAATCAATGTTTATTAAATAATTCAATAAAATGTGTTGAGAAAGAGGCGAGAATTTGCAAAAATCATGTGCTTATCGATATAACGGCAATAACAAAAAAGACCAAGGAGTACAATAAAAAGCCAAACCAACAGTTGCTCATTTGAAAAAAAAAAAAAGAAAAAACTTGAACACCACACTCTCTTGCTCGCAAGCTGACATATGTTTATTATGCGAAGAACAATTGAGACAGTACACAGACTGAGAGCATTCCAAACACCCGTCTTTTGGAGAAGCAGAGAGATTGGGGAATTGTTTTTGGTATGTGTGTGTGTGTGTGTGTGTGTGCGATGATTATAAAACGATACGAAGAGTTGAGCGAAACCTCTCAATTATTATTTACTTTTGTACAAAATCAGCACAATTCGGAAAAGAAAATCGGGGGAAAAAAAGTAGTTTCACAATTTTTTGCAATTAATATCTTTTTCAATTTTCTTTGTTTTGTAGATATTTGCGAGTACTCGTTATATCGTTCGTATTTTTGCAATTTAATACGTTTTTAATCTTTCATTATCTACACTGCATAATTTTGTTGTTGTTGTTTTTTTTTAACTTTTTATTAACATATTATCAAACGTGTTCAGGCATGTAAGTAAGCAAACACACATATATATGCAATTCAAAATATTTCTTTTACTATTTATGTCAAGTCTGCCTATTTGTACGTCGTAGGCACGTATTTAGATGTTTTGATTGGTTAGACGTCAGCAACTATAATCAACAACTGAACGTACTTGAACCCGCTTTTACAAAAAACAAGAAACAGATAAAAGTTACAAAATACTGTAGAAAACTATACGTTTTATTGTTACTTATAATAACATACACAAACATACAAACACACACACACAAGGCAAATGTGTTTCTCTATCCTTTATTTCAATTTGATTTTGCTCTTTTTCTTTTTTTTTTTTAAAGGCCGCAATTATTGTGTTATTGTAATGAACAAAACTACGCAATTTATAGAAAATATATAAGCAAAAAAAAAAAAAAAACAATTTAAATCACGTCACACACGTCACGTTTTTATTTATCGTTCACACTTTTTTTCAAAATATATTTTCTTTATAGGCAAATTGTGTTTTCTCATTATATTCATTGTTTCATTTTATAACAACTTTTTCGTGTATTTTATTGAGCATGTACCAAAAATTTGTTTGCAAGCGCGTTATGTCGTTTAGGTTTTAACTGAAAATCGAAAAATAACTAAATTCCATAAACTTTGTTCCTACATTTCATACATTCATATATATATATATATATATATATATATACGTACATTTATTAAATATTCGTATTCCCCGTCTATTCTACAATACCATAGGATTACGCTCTCTTTGTCTCTCTTTTTCTTTCTTTCATTTTTCTCGTCTTATTTGCATTACATTTATTCCCAAAGCAGTGTATTATAGCAATAACAACAACATTATTAACCTGCATGGTGTTTCTGCTGTTTTTTTTTTCTTCTGTTATTTTTGTTTTTGTCATTTGCCTTCGACATGATAATAGTATTTTCGGTTTACGTTTTACTACTAGTTTCGTTTGGTTTCATTACACAATTGCTATGAAGATTGCACCCTATAGCCGGTTATAGAAGAATTTCCAAAATTTATTCTTAATGTCTGATAATAGTTTCGCTTCAATTAGGAAACAGCAATACACAACTTCAATGAAAAAGTGTATAAAATGAACACAAATATATATACACAAGCTTCCACGCGTAAGTGCACGCATAAGTATGTTATGTATATACATATGCACACATATTTATACAATAAAATTAACAAGATCAATCAAGAAAATTCGAAAGTCTACATACATATATGCATCTATATATACTATATATCAATATTATTATTATTGTAATTAATTCAGCTAGAAGAAATAAATTCAAGGTCTGAAGTCTTAAAGCACTAACAACTGACGCTATCGCCTTTACACAAAACCCTAGCGCACTTAAGATTTGAACCGACGACAATATATAACTCTATAGGTTGTGGAGTTTTATATAACTTTGTAAGCTATAGAGTTGTTTAATTTACTAAATATAATTTCCAATTGGGAGCACTTGACCTAAAAAAAATTTCGCTAAAAATGGACATATATTTAAAAATTTGTATTTTGAACGTGTATAGTGTTGTAATGTCTACTACAGCGTCAACTAGGATGACGTAAATCACTTCTGGAATTTTACTTGTTTTAATAAAAAAAAAAAACCCGTGGGAGACGATTTAGAAGCAAACGTGGATGCCACACTAAAATAAAAACTTACTACAATCGGAATGCATAACAGAAAACGAAAATTGCTTCATTTCAACGTTAATGTGTGTAGTAAATAAAAAAAGCACCAAAAAAAAAAAAAAAGATAAAGTATCTTTTAACTGTTTATAATATTATTTACCGAAGATGAATATAGATATGCACTTGACATAAAGAGAATGAAATTTCTGCACCGTAAAATTAACGGATTGTAGCAAAAAAACAAACGTTGTCCGTTGTATTTTTAAAAAATTTAAATATTATTTTCGTTACTTCAATAATAAAATATATAACATATAAAGATAAATTTATGGCAAAACTTACAAATTTCTGACAAATGATTGAAATTTCGATTCTCTATAGATATGCTCTATAGATATTAGTTAGAAGCATCCATAGAAAATACTGGCCAATATTTATCGTTAACCAGAGAAGTCCGTTTTTTTTGTTTTTACAAAAACTTGTCTCCAACTTATGTCGTGTGGAAGGCAGATTCTCCAATATATATATTTTAAAATATATAGATATACCCTTCCTGAAGAAAAAAAAGGTTTCAACCTTCGTGGATTTCTAATTTGATTGCAATATATCTTTTAAACACTACGATGAATTTTTTTTTTTATAATTCGGTAACTCTAAAGTTTCCAGTAGATTTTGACTTGATAATAAGAAAAAGTGTATAAGAAAGGCAAAAAAAAAAACAAAATGGAAATAATGCAAACCATAAAAACTTGAAAACAAAACCATAGGCAATGAAAAGTAAACAAAATGAACAGAAGAGAGAAAATGTAGTAAAACACAGAAAAAAAGAGAGAAAGAAAATCTATCGCATATATCTACGAAATATATGCTATCAAAAGAAATCTAACATGCTAGAAAATTCCTAAATAGCATTTGGGAAATTCCAACTAGATGCAATATAATTTTCAACTCTTGAGCTTTTTATATGAAATAAAGCCTCTTTGAGTAATGGACATAAAAACTTTCTCTACACACGCATACACACTCTCTTTTTCTCTCTCTCATAATGCTCTTAATTTTTTCTAATGAGTTAGGAAGCTTAGGGAAATAGAGCAGTAAACTTAGTAACGAATGAGTTTAAATCTTATCGTTTAGACTTTACTTGATGAGATTTTTATTGTGTATATATATATGTATATATATATATATATATATATATATTTATTTATGCGATATACGCGCGTTTATGTACACGTTCAGTGCTTTTGTTTTTTTCTTTATTTACATTAAGATGCATGCTATGTTTTATTTTAATTTAAACCTGAACCTCTCTGCTGATGACTCATTGGGGTTTTTTCCAAAACGAAAAAGAAAAAATGCGCGGAATGGTATTTGTCCCCCCAACATGCATGCTGATGATGTGTGCATGTGGCCGCTTTGCGCTTTGCGTTGCTTGCAGATTTCTCTATTTTGTTCTTCGCTTGCTTTGTTTTTTAATTGCTGCAGTTCTTAATTATGATGTTTTGTGATGCTTTTTTTCTTGCTTTAGTTTTATTGTGTTGAGATTTCATAAAGATTGTGTTTAACGCTAACACAACTTCTTATAGTGAGCCCAGTACTTCTTTGATTATATCCATGTATGTCGCAAAACAATTGCTTTGTTATTATTTTTGCTCATTTATATAGATATGAAATTTGAACATATATTTAATAATGAATTGACCTTAAAATCTTTTAAAAATTATTTTCAAATGTATAACAATGGTGCCGCTGCACATGCTCATTGTACGAATAACTATAATTATATCATTAATGACTTGACTAAAGTGATATTTTAAATGGATCCAAATGTGCAGTTTTGTTAGCACATTTTTTCATCTTTCACAACAATAGTACGGCAACAAATTCAAAACAATAAGAGAATTACGAAACAAAATGTAAAGTGCAATTAAATGAAAGGAGTGAATGAGTGATTTTTCGGATCATTGACATTTTTGACCAAATAGCTAAAGATGTTGGCACATTATGGCTGTGTAAGTTCTTGCCGACGCAAAATTTTTTTACGTGATATGTTAAATAACCTTCCGTAGAGACTTGATGGCCAAGTTTTAGTAGTGTTTGTTTTACAAATCGTAAATTAATATATTTTTACCCATCTGACGTCATATTTGATTATATCCATTTCTATTCGTTGAATGCAGGGCGTGACAGTTTTGATCATTGGTTATACCATATTTTAGACCGATATCCGCTATTACCTACAAGCTGCAATTTGTTGCCATTGCAGGCGTGATTGTGAGTGTAATCTATCGCCGTATTTAATTGCAACTTCGCTAGAGACGGGCGCGTATCTATGTGCGTGTCTCCATCTGACAGTCGTGGACAGTCGTAATCACCTCTGGGCTCTTTAGGGTTACTCATTCGCAGAGAGAACTCACGCTAAATTTCTTCTGCAGTGTATATCGGAAAAATTCACATCGATTTTTGGGCCTTGGACAAAAGCATTCATTTTCGAAGAGTCCGCATTTGCAAGGAGGCATTACAATGGGAAATCCCAATGATTTCAAAGGCAAATTCATGGTTCAGAAGATTACAAGACGGTTAATAATCAATTGAAAACTAAACTTGGTTTAAGGCAAGTCGGACTAAAAAAGATTCATTCATAAGTGTTCGATGAAGTTTAGTTTTAAGATGTGTCAGATATATGCATATATACAAAGATAACGGTTCAGTTGAGGAGTATCAAAATTTACGATCCATATTTTATCTCTCTCTCTCTATCTCTATCTCTTCTAGTAAGATAAACAAATGTACTCATTCAGAGAGAACAGGAATTGTTTTCATATCTATAATCAAATGCAATTCCTTTGTAGTACGTCTTACATGTTCAGATTTTCTTGCAGCCAGGAGTTTAATTCTAACAAAAGCTATACTCTTAAGTCTTTTTTGCCAACATATTTTGATCCCCTGGTCATCTGTGCAAATTTGATAAGAATCGCCACTACGGGCAGTGTTTTCAGGGTAGTAAGTTTTCGCGAGCATACTTGATTGCATTTATCGTGAGTGCCTATTAGATAAAGACATAAAAGTTGTCGGCTGCGCACATGCGCAATAGGCCTACTCCGGCCTACTCTTTCCCTTTTTCCTCACTTTTTTTTTTGCCATCATCGTGTTGCATGTTACATGTTCCCGAGCAATTGATTATATTAAAAAAAAAAAACACACCGAAGCGGTAAAAACTTATTATACACTCGCATCGTTATTATAAAACGTTTATTAAGGTTTCTGTGACGAAATTGCTAATCCTGTCCTTATGTCCTTTTAGTAATCAAGCTTTCTATATCTTTTTGAACAGTTCATAGTTATATTTTTAATAACCGCTACAACCTCTCCGGGTACATTTCTTCTGGAATAATAAAAAATGTGTGATGATACTGTTGTGCATGTTTTGCTTTATGCTTAATATTATTCAATGGCGTACAAATAAATAATCAGATAAAATTTTACAAAGAAGAAAAGCAGAAAACATAAGCTTCAGAAATGTTTTATTGATTTAAATACTAACCTTTTCCTTTCCATTAGTCAAAACTACCATAAATTTTTTTCTATTAATAACGACGGCAAGCAGCTGAAATCTTAAATGAAGTCATACGTTCAGCTCATTATCTGTGAAACAAACAGAAAACGCTTTAAATTCTTACTCTAAAACCCAATGGAATGCAAAAATCAAAAGTACAATAAAACCAAATAATATTGTGTAGAACACACACAGCCAAATACATACGCACACACGCACACAACATACAAACTCGTATAATAACAGGTAAAAATTGCACTAAACAATACTTAACTGATATGAAGCCACCATGTGCTTATTATTAAGGATTTTAAGGCATGAAATTCCATTAACACAAATATCCATAAACAATATTACAAACGATTATACGAAAATACATGCAATAAGTAGATGCGTAAATGTATCGCGGAGTGAATAAATGTGTGTGCATGTGTGTGTGTGTGTGTGTGTGTGTATGTGTATTTGTTTATTTATTTATAAAAATATACATACATTGTGATATTTAACTATAAGGAGGAGTAAAAAAGAAAGAAGTAAAATACAATACATAAGGGGAAGCAAACAATAAAAATTCCTTAACTTTAATAAAGTGACGGGAGCAGCAGCACAGCAGTCAGCCAGACAAAAACATAACATACACACAACTCTTAGGCCGCCTGTCAGTCAGCAAATCTTACAGGTAGGTATAATAATGCCTAACATAGTATAGTATATATGGAGTTATAGTACGTAGACCCTCAACCATATATCTCAAAATGTATGTATTATTGTAAACGAGCGAGTGATAAGTTGTCGATGAATGGAAGACACAATAAAATCAAAAAACAAAAAAAAAAATAAAAAAAATAAAAAAAGGAAAAAGACTAAATGAAGAGAAAAAGGAAAACTAAAGTGATTTTTAAATGTTTTTTTTTTTTTTTTTTTATGAAGCACAGCAGAACAGAGGAAAAAAAACAACATTTAAATATGAAACTAATTGTGGTGGCGACATTGGGAACATCAGTGATATCCTGAAAACATTTTACGATATGCGAATGTATGCCTCGTGAATATCAACATCAACGTTATTGAATGATTTATACAAAAAGGAGAACAAATACAAAAACAAAAAAAAAAAAAAAAGGAACAGGAAAAAAATAAAAAAACATTGACAGCTAGTGGTTAAATAAACCAATAATTGGAAAATATATGTAAACGTTATGTGCGCGCGTCTAATTTACAAGGGAGCCAGCTGTCTTCATCAGCAACAGCGACAAATCTTTGTAAATATTTCGTAAACCTTTACACATGAACTTTAATTTACTTTACTTTTATTCTTCAAACCCTAAACAAAGAAGAAATAAACACACAAGACATCTATCTAATAGATGAGGCAATGAGAGGGTGCCTGGGTATGGATATGAATGGGAAAAAGTTGCGATATCTGTTAGCTAAGGGTGGTAACCGAAATGTTCAATTACTTTATAACACAAATCATAGTAAATATTTGCAATTGGTTGGTTAATTTGCTTTATGGGTGGATTTATACATATATATATATATCTATATTTGTATTTTGGGTGCTAAAAAAAAAAAAAGAAAAAAAAGTTCATAATTGCAACAACACATAAATAAAATCTGATAACATTGTTCATCAATAAATGTTTTCTTTTGTTTATATATTTCCGGCATAAAGGAAACGTTTTGCAAAAGTGACATTTAACGGCAAGGGGCGTGGGGGAGAAAAGATGGTCAATTTGTTAATTAGACGCTTTAACAATAATGGTCAAGTGTTTGGAGAAATCTGCTTATCGTAGAAAACTTTATTTAGAAAAGCAATTTCTGCTTAAACTAATATATAATAAAATTTTCAAATTCTTATCAGAATCGCCGCACATTATATCACAATAGGGAATTAGGTAAAACAATATAGAGTAAGTAAGTAAGTAAATCATTCTTATCGCCGATAGGTGATTGATTTGACATTGTTACATTTGCAACACTTACGCTTGGATAATGAACAGACGATGAATTCATATGAAATCTTTATTAAGATGGCACTCTTTTCAAATTTATTTTATATTAGTGGGGAGTTTCAGTCTTAAGTCTAATCTTGCTTACTAACTTTTATAACGATTTGTATCAGCATGTGACTCTCAGTCCCTTATGGCGATTATACAATAAAGAGCTATATACAAGATATAAATATATATATATTTTGTACCTCTTGTGGTACAAGGTCAAATTAAGACACAACATCCAGAATAGCTTGAGATACGATTACAGATAATGACAGATAATGAATTCGAATCCATCTAACCCTGTCTACTCGTTTATCTGTTCTTCTGTTCTTATATTCTATCTATAGGCCGCAGTTATTGGGACATTTTGATGATTGTTAATATAACTCCACTCAAGGAAACGGTTTAGGGGATAACAATCTTCTTTATCGCTTTCAAAAAGTGATGCAATTTTGCTTATGTTTTAACCGCATTCTGGGGCATATTCTCTCCTATCAAATCATTTTTCAAAGACTCGAGACCATTTACCACACAACTCAACACAGCTTCCTGTTTATAAGGCACGTAGAAATTTATCCATCTACAAATTAGAACAACGATCACTTTGTCAAGCAGCAAGTCGGTCTGTAAGCCTTTGGTCGAAAATTGAACGAAAAAACGTTCAGAATACAGATATCGTGCGAAATGACTTTAGATGACTTTCATAGCAATAAATCGCGGCGATCTCTCTTACAGTTGAACTTTCATGCGAAGCATCCTAGCCATAGTGGAAAGTTCGTTATTATGGGTAACTGGGGATTATTTGAATCGAAAAATATTCAGATTTCTTCTAAGAAACATGGGGCGAGTTTCCTCAAGCAAAATCAAGTAAATCGCAATTGTTCAGTACCTTTACCCAATTGACTAGTGAAAGAACGCCCGCTTTGCCTAATCTTACCTAACCCTGGATTATCACAAGAGCGATCTCATCACCACTAAGAATGCTTGCTCGTAAAACTTGGCATATAATAATTATTTTATATTCCGTCTGAATGATGGGTAAGCAATGTTTTTTTTTATCCAAGCAGCAGTGGCTTTTTTAATTATCATTACTTTCATTATTTTGTAATAAACAAGAATATTGCATTTTTCGGTATTTCCAATAATTTATAACGCAAATGCAGAATTATTGTCAATTGTTTTTCAAAAGCAGTGCCCGCGCAATAAATCATTTTGAAATGTTGAAATAATGGTAACACAATTCAATGATACCACCCCCCTCCTAAGAGTTAATGTTATAAGTGATTGTTTAGGTTTTAAAAAAAAAAAAAAAACGTGACCTTAAAATCGCCTCAATGCAATCGATTATGTAAATTAAAATTCGTTCTTTGATATTTAAATAAATTGTTAAACTCCTTCAATATTAAAAGTTTTCATATATATGTGCGATGTAATGGCTATCATTGCTGTACTTCCCCCACTAGCATAGCCTACTGTATCGAGATTTATTGCGAATTAATTGCGAAAAGCTAATTATTATCTTGGCAATAATAACTTTAATAAATATTTAATGAATTTTCAATTATAAGACATAATTAACGCAATTAAAACAATTATACTGATCGATAAATTAAATCAAACTCATAAGAGAAATGCAAGCATGTTTTCTGTCTTCATAGGTATTTTTAGGCTCATTTTTCGAAGATGACCGAGAGAGGCAGTGTGTGTGTCTTAGAAGAAAAATCAAAGAATTCGCGAGAGGCGTACGAGGCAGATTTGAAATATAATTGCAAGTGATCAAACAAAATAGTTCCATGAAGGGTTTAACGTGGCCCACAAATGCCCAAAGTCTCATTTACTTTTGGCGTTTGCAGGACTAACAGGCTGAACGCTTTATGAGTAGTTATACGTATATATGGTGGTACTTAGAGTGATCGGTTAGTCGTAACTAGTAGTAGTCTCTTCCTTATCTCTTTTTCTCCTTCACTTCTTTCCGACTATTCCCGTTTGACACGAATACGAATTATTGGTAGTATTGTTAGAAATAATGAAAAGCAGATATGATTTTGAAAAATCATTTTGGTTGCGGCCTGCAAATCCCTTTGAAGCACTGCATTTGCTAAGGGGCCAATAGGCGGTGGCCTATTCATTTTTGATTCTCTAGTAAGGCGGGAGAAATCATTCGCTTGGTGTTCTGTTGTTGTTCGATTATGTAACAGTCTCCTTTTCCCAGTTGGCATTATAATGCTTCTTCTTATCGGTAATTTAGTTTCGCCCATGAAAATCCTGGTTTACTATTTTTACTTGCCTGCCTTTTAGATTTAATTGAAAGAAAGCAATATTTAGATAATAATTAGTAGATAATAATTAGGGATCGGGCTGATATATAATTTAGATGGCGATTGAGCAAATTTTTTTCCAAGACTATTGTTGTTTTTAGATTCCTACATACTACAAGGAAATTTCCTTTTTACTTAAAATGAATTCTTGCATAGGTAAGTAGTTGAAAAGCGGGACGATCAAGTCGCCATATCTGGTCTAAATAATCAGCGGAGTAAGTCATGCTTCAATTACGATTGATATGCGATTGCTTGGGCGGTATAACACTCACTGATCTACATCTCCTAGTATGCGGCCATTCCCTATCTCTATCTTCCCCTCCCCCAAACGATTGCATGTATTTAACAAAAAAAAAAAAAAAAAACTAACACAGATACCTCAAGCTCCTATGAAAATGGGACGTAAATAATCAACAAGTTCAGCATCAAACACTCTAATCAAATGCTTTCTTAATGCCACTTCTGACATATCCAAGTCTTAGATGTTCGTGTATATTGCAAAGATTATGTTTATTGGGAAGATTACGCTATCGAGGAGAGATACATTAGAGGATCTAATAAAGATGGCGCAAAACGCAAGCCAATTTTGATGTTTGGAAGCATGTGCAGCTGTACCAAGTTATGGAAGACTTGAAAAAATGAATTCACTTTTGCATATTGAAGCACGAATCATATCGTACTTCACAGATTTGACCCACAAGTGTCATTGTGTGTCTATTTTAAGGCGATTATTAACTTCCATTTCAACCGCTTGATAGAGAATGAGCGCAAGGTCGTTGCATAGTTGCAAAGTAAAAACAAAGAAGGATTTATTTATTTATTTATTTATTTATTTTTTTCATTAGTTGCTAAACTCTCATGCCATGAGTTATTGTCGGGTTATTCAACTTAAGTTCGCGAAGCGTATGAATACAGGAAAACGCAAATTATGAATGTGTAATAAAACTTTAGAATAATGAAAAAAAAAAAAAAAAAAAAAAAAAAAAAAAAACAAAACAAAACATGTCCGTGAACTTTGATTTAAATTTAATTATCAGAATATTTTCGATGTTGTTTTGCTTTTTTTTTTTATTTTTTTATTATTTTGGAAGGGGTCTTCAAAAGATATTTTCGTATGTTGTATTTTTATTTTTCATTAATTTTTTTTATAAATTAACTGTTTTAAGTAGCGGCTGATATTTAAATTCTTTTGGTTGTACTTTTATTTCATATAAACTTCAGCTCACTTTATTTCAAACATTATTGTTTATCATAAAATCTGTGTAAATTTTATTCATTTAACATCGTCAAGTTCATTAATTAAATTTTTTTTTTCTCGTTTTGTACTTTTTTATTTTTTTACGGCTCTTTTTTCATTTCATTATTGTGATTGCAGCTATAATTCAAAGTTTAAGAGTGTGTGTGTCTGTATGCGCGAGTTTTGTACTGAAGTCTGTCAGTCTGTCTCTGTACAGAGTAAAATTTTGTTTTGTTGTTGCTAAAATTTTGTACTCTTTATATCGTAAAAATGTGTTCTTTAAAAGGTTTTTTCGAATGATTTTTTTTTTTTTTTTTTTTGTTTAATTATAAACACATTTTTGCCATAAATTTTGACAAAGAAAAATTTTGTCCAAAAAAAAAAAAAAAAAAAAAAAACAAATGGGAAAAACTTTATTGAATCTGCAACGACTTTTTCATTCCTTTTACTTTGTACGAGGATCTGGTTAAAAAACAAAAAAGCAATATATATTGAAGCAGATACATATAAAAAAAAAAAATAAATAAATAAAAAAAAAAATTAAATTAAACTTTATTACATAGGTATTACAAAATTTATTTAGCCAAGTAAAACAGAAAATGTGTACTTAACCCTTAGCATACTCTACGGGATTGAAAGGGCAAAGAAAGAAATTAATAATAATTGAAGACAAAAATTCACAAGACGAGGAGCAATGTGCTTGCAATATATTCTGGCCTAAGATGAAAAGGAAGCATTGCAATATAAGTAATCGACAGAAAAGACAAAGAACATAAACAATCAAACAGTTGACAAAGACATGAAACATAGCAAACCTGAAATGTTTGCCGCAACGAAGGGCTTCGTCTTGCAAATTGGATTTACTTTTATAGGGTTGTTACTTGTCGCTTAAATCTCATACTTTTCTTTTTTCGTGTAATCAGAGAAGATTCGTTCAAGACATTAAGGCACGTCTTCATATCTTTTTAATAAAATTTAAGGCGTATGGCCTTTGGAAATTTTTCAAAAAATTATTGGCTTAAATGATCCGCTAAATAATCCAACCTAATGCCTAAAAGACAATTGTAGGCGTGACAACACTTTAAATGGTCGACAAAATAATTGTATAGCAGCATAGGGTCTGATTTTGATTTTTTTCACTTAAAATTATTATCGTATCGTTAAAATCACATTCTTCTAAGGAATACTTAGAGACGTTTCTCGATAAGTGCAGAGTTGAAATTAATCTTTTTTTTATTAACAAAAGAAGTATATTTTAAATACAGACGAGTTTTATCAAAAAAAAAGGAACGAATTTATTTGTATACCTCTTATATGTATATATATATATATATATATATCTTTCGCGTAGTAGATGAGGCTTGACAACTTAACTAAGATAAAAGCTTTAATTATCATTTATCTAAAGACCTTAGTGCTTAACAAGTTTGTATCCAATTTTAACTTTTTTAAGTTATTTTCACTAAAGGTGAAAGTATAGTTATCTAATATTAATAATTAATGATTAAATTCTTTAAATTAATAAATTAAATTCATTAAGTTAATTAAGAAGTAAGCAAAATATATTCGCTTTAGAACGAACCTCTGATATGATCACCACATGAAATCTTAATGTGCAAATAAAAATTGTACAAAATCTTAATGTAATAAATATTGTTAATTAATTTGTTAATTATTGATGTGTCGAATGATTGGTGGAAATCTCTTTTAATCCGACCAGTGCCAGATAGTTCTTGTTATTCGAATATATAGAAGAAAGCAAGTGTGCTTATGATATATGATTATTAAATATTGATCAAATGTAAAGCTGACGGACTGTCAATTCAGTGATCTTGCCGTTAGTATGACGTATGTATACCATAAATTGGACACAAGTACAAGTAAGTCTCGCTCATTAAAAATGTACCCCAGTTTGAAGTTTCACTGCTCAGGAACTTATCTGCTGAAATAGATTTCCATCCAAAATTTAATGCGTCTGTGCACATAGGGCTTGTAAGTGGTCAAGGCAAGGGCGACAATTTAACTCAAATGAGATCTCAATAAAACAGAATACGAAATACTTTGCTGTTTTAAATATTGGCTCAAGATACGAGATTCACTATAAGGCGAGTCGTATCTCTTACCAATATTACCATTTCCATGGTATCAACGTTACATACACATAAATTCGCTCTCTTTGATCCCTTTTGATCATTAGATATATTTATTTATTTATTTACTTTCTATATATTTTGTAAATAAATTTGCCGAGTATGGATGTTTAAAGGACCTCTGTATTGAAAGCTGTATCGCACTTGAGATTTGAACACGCCACCACTGGGCAGTTAGTCGCGATTCTTTGCTTACTCAGTTATTCATACGAACATAGAAATATTTATATACAAGGAAAGTTGGCCATATATGCTAAGAATCAATGTAGAAATTCTAGATCCTAAACTTAACATTATAATCAATGGCATCGATTTTAAATCAAAAATGGATGTCTAAGATTAACATACCATATCTTACCAACAGCTTAGCGAGTGATCACAAAGCAATTTTAGTTAGAATAAAGAAATATGTATGTGTGTGTGCGTACGTGTTGAAAAATAATCATAAAAATATATATATATATTGTAAAAATATACTTAGATATCTTAGCTTTTGTTCGGTTGTGTTATCAAATACTTTGCAAATAAGAAAACTAAATGAGTCAGTAGATCTGTTAAATAAAAATTATATATTATAGTTATATTTTAAGACCACATCTGTGCTCGCTCATCCGAACGAAGACTCATACTTTTATTTGTAATATGAACCGTCACTGAATGCACTTGAAGTTATATTTGTTAGCGGTCGAAGTAATTGCGCAAATATAATTTTAATAGTTAAACACAATTTTTCAGTTAAGGTACAGTTCAATGGACTTTAGTTATGAATCGCATAAAATTTAATCAAATTTAAAAATTTATATTATTTTATGTCATTTCGCTTAATATGAACATCATATCATATTCCGCCTATATGTCGTCTGACTTTTCAATTTAATATCATTTCGTGTAACTCGATTAAAAATAATCACCGTCAGTTGTCTGTCTGATAGAATGCTTTCCCACGCTTTAAAATTATACAAAATTTATATATGTTTGTTGTTGTTTTTTTTTTGTTTTTTTGTTTGATTAAGTTTTTCCCTGCCCCGAATATAATGGAGTTTATTTATTTTATTTTTTGGTTTTTATGTAATCAATAAACAAAAAATTTATTATTGATTTTTATTGTTGAGAGCAAAAAAAAAAAAATTGAATTTTAAAACATTTTTACATAGATTAATTTTTATGAACATATTGTGCCATGTTATGATAACTATTAGGTCGAGTCATAAGTAACTTCCGATGCAGGTAAGCAGAATCTATTGTTCGTATTTTCCAAAACAAATGAGTTTTTCTTTTCACTATACAGATATTTCAGTTCAGTTAGTCTTCTGTCAACTGTTTTATGTGGTGCATGTTACAATCAATCGTTTTTCTTAATCTCTGAAATGGAGAGCCAAAAAGTTAGAAACAAATGTGCAGCGTAAACGGTGAAGGACTGACAACTGATCGGCTCAGTTAGAAATGGGTTTGAAAAATTCCTTTGTGGAATTACGAACTTAGACTTTGACGATAATCTTTATCCTTGCTTATGACGCGACCTAACATTATCTATAGCAAATTAGTCCAATTTATTACAGGACTAACTGAGGTCAAATAGTTTAGTCGACGTTAAGGAAACTCTTGACTAATTATCTTAGTGCTTGCCATATTGCCAGTATACCGTTCCATACTGGCACTGCACCATTAACCGATCGAAGTGAAAGTGCAGAAATTGCATCAGTAATTGGTAGAAATCATTGAACCTTTAAAGTGAATCCCTACACAATAATTAATTTTCATTTATATTTTATTCAAATTTTTTACTTTCAACTTAAACTATCTTTCCTGTCATGGAATAGAAAGCATTTCGTAACAAGATCTTAACTCACTTATTATTTATAATTTGTTTTCATTTCAGATAAAGATGCAATTTTTCCATTACTCATCCCATGGTCGACATCAAACCATTCCTCTTCATTCAACATTACTTATCAACATATCCACATTCGTTCATGGCTTTTACTCACAACGATTTCCACTGATGGCACTCATCTTACTCGATTATCACAATAGTTTTCCCATGTTACTAATGGCGACAATAATTTGTAAGTGACATATATATCCAATTTAAAGAAAAATACTAACACATAGTCGTTCATAATCGCAAAAAACTCAGCTAACAAACAATATTTAAATATTTAGCGATGTCAACGAAATGTTAGATGACAAGACAATCACATCAGTTATATTCTTATAATATTATTACGTATCTTTTACTAACTTCAGTTTAAGCATGAATTTGCTTTTTAACCGAATTCCCTCCTTTATTATAAGCAGTAATATTCGTTCTCTAAACTTGAAGAGGCGCTTAAAATTAATCAAACTCTTATCGGCGTGCTTCTCAAATTCATGGTTAAGGGCAAAGATATATTTCATATTAATTACTATACTTTGACATATTGAAACGCCAACACCAATAAGCCAATAATATCAAGCGATATTAAGCGATTTTTTTCTTTATCTTGGCTCAGGTACACTGTCGAGGTAATTGCTAGGACGCATTTTGTAACTTCTCTTGCGCTTATTGATGGGATCTACAGTCTGCACATGATTATCTTTTCGTACGCTTTGTCAGTATATGGTTTTGTGGCGAGTTATCTGTAGACATCTATTCATGTGACTGATGTAACCTGGAAAGGTTACAATCGCAAAAAATGCTATAAAGAAAGGAAATTTACCTAAAACTTTTTATAGGATTTACGTACAGACTTAGTAAGTGGTATTCATTTAGATTGCTGTCAGTCATAGTTCCTTTCTCTAGTATACAGAATAGCTCCTGCCATGATTTTCCATAAGAGTCTGAAAGATCCCTTTTGTGCAATTTGTTTCTTTCAAGAATGTAATTGGGGAAGAATAATGTACAGAAAAGGAACATTGTGTGCATGTCTCAAACGGACCCACCATATCTTATCTTGTGTAAGATTTTCTAAATTTTTTATTAATCCTTATCCAAATAAGAAGGGATGGGTTGTGGAAAAAGCTTTACGTATCACTCAACCGGAAATTATTTAATTAAAAGGTACGAACCTTATTCACCGAGGAATAATTAATATTTTTTTGATTGAAATTTAAAGGTTCCACTCTCCGTTGGATGCAATTTTATTCCACCTTATATAGTATTATATTAGTTATGTCCTTTTCTTGGAAGAAATAAGCCAGAATTTATTCAGTCTCAATATTTATGATAAGTTCCTAAATTTCCTGAAACACATATATATATATATAATATACTGTCTATATAGATTATTATTGTTATTCTTAATCCAGCCGGAGAAAAGACTCTAAGACTTAAGCCTAAAAGCAGCAGCATCTAAAACTATTGGCTTTAATGAAAACTTTACCGCACTTGAGATTCGAAGTCACGACGATTGAGTTGTTAGTCGAGACACTTTGCCTACTCGTCCATTCAGGCGGATAAAATGCCGCAGGCTGAAGTTTCGATGAGGTCTCTTTATTGTTAGGTCTGTTGTGTTATCGAGAACCTTATGGATGAATAATGTCATAGAAAACTTGCTAAAGCATTTCTTTTATAAGGGGCTATACTAGGTTTGTTGTTTGGCTAAAAATACGCCTCAAATTGACCTAAAACTTGGTGCAAATATATATCAGAGTAAATGCCAAAAAAAAAAGACCTTTCAATGGATGAACTTATAGGCCTACAATTGATAAGTTATTGAAAACTTTGGTTCATTAATTTGAGGCGGTAGATACCGAAGATCATACCGAACATGGATAAAGCTTTTCAATGCCTAGTCGATAGTTGTAGCAAATAGATCAATGGAAATTAATTACTAGGCTATTAATTTAGCTTGTATAAATAATTAGTCTTTTTAGTTTTCGACAATGCTGCAAACATTAAAAAGTATAGTGAAGTAGTATAACTAGCAAAGCAGAAGGGTATGCGAGTAGCAGTGCAACATTCCATCTTTTCTTTGTTAATTTATTAAAAAAAAAAGAAAAGAAAAATGTATCCAAATTTTGTGTATAGAAATATGTGCATATGTATATATACATATATGTGTATAGTTATAAATATGCATATGCATATATGCTTGATATTATAAAAGCATTGGGAGACGCTCCTCCACTCATTCCTAATGAGTACATCATCATTAATATCAGTGAGACAATAAACGAATGCATATAAACGAATTATAAAAGATTATAAAAAACAAAGATGAAGTTAGACTCCACCTCTTCAATATACAAATAATAAAATAAGTAAAATGAAAAAAAGAAACCACAGCAAATGCAACAAATCAGAAGACGACCGCATGATACGTGCATTGTCAGCACACGATGTTTTCTACTCGTTGGGCGGAAACCTCATTAATAATGATATCGTATTAAAAAGAAGTTGTTATGAGAACAAGAACAACGGTAAGAAGAAAAAGAAGAAGAAAAAAAAAACATACATACACACGCACGCACGCATGTGTATTTATGCATGTATGTATGTATGTGTGGAAAACAGAAGTCATTAACGCATAGTAAACTAACTTACCCTTCGTGTAGCAATTTGTTGATGTTGATGTTGTAATTGCTGTTGATGTTGATGCTGAGATTGATGTAGTGTTTGCTGTTGAACTAATGATCTGACATTAGGTGCAACTGGTGAATGGGCGGGTGTTAAAATTTGTTGAGTATGCGGCTGCTGAAGTGTTTGCAAAGGGTGTTTTAAATGCGTTTGTTGCTGATGCTGATGTTGTTGCATACATGATTGTTGCTGCTGTTGTTGTTGTTGTTGGGATTGAGGCGAATTTGTATAATAATTCATTGATGGCAGAGAGATCGTCGTCGCTGATAGTTGCGGAGAATAATTACCATATTGCTGTTGTTGTTGTTGTTGTTGCTGTTGTTGTTGCTGTTGCTGTTGCATATATTGTTGCTGTTGTGTTTGCATTGCTAAGACAGCATTATCGTAGGCTTGATGATTTTGCCTGTTAGTATCCGCTAACCAATTTGATATTCGTTGTTGTTGTTGCTGTTGTTGTTGATGATGATGTTGTTGCTGTTGCTGCTGTTGTTGTGGCAAAATATTATTAACCGCCATATTTTGATTACTATTGTTATTGTAATTATAATAATAATTTTTATTGTTGTTATTTTGCATTTTTGTTTTTGGTTTTTGCTTTTTGTTTACGATATTCGTTTATATATTAATAATTAATTAATTAATTAATTAATTAATTATTTAAATTATGACATTTATTAATTGTTAATAAATGATTTGTATTTTATAGAAAAATCTGTGGAAAATACACATAATTTGTTATACACGAATGCTTCGTTTAAAAAGCCGCAGTTCATAGTTGATAACGAACTCGAGTTGATGTAAGTTCAGAATTTAATGAATAAATTTTATTACTTTACTACTTTGGTATTTCTAAAGTTAATGAGTTTTAAATATTGCAGTCAGTCAGTCAGTCAGTCAGTGAATTGAGCTTCGTAAGAATTGTTCACTTATTGTAAAAACTAATGGAATTGATGCGCATTAAAAGTGCTTTAAATCGACTTAGTTTTCTCTCTACTTGCATACTATATAACTCTATTTCATAGAGTAGTATACATAATCTTATTAAAATTTAAAAGTAAATGATTTAGAAATTCCACTCCTAGTTCACTTTCGTTTCGTTTCGTTTCGTTTCGTCCATCTGTCGGTCCTATATATGAATAATGTCAAAGCATTCGTAACGATAAGAGAAATAACTTTGATGTAAAGTCAATCGAGTATAGTTATCTCGAAAAGATTTTCTATTACGCGTTACACAAAAACATATATCAATGTTTGAAGAGATAAAGACATTTTGAAAGTTATTTCTATAAATCATTCTTGATACTAATCAATGAACGTATAGTGCGTAAGTTTATCAAAACGATATTCATAGCTGTACGAAGATATGTCTGCTTCTTGCTGTATCTGCTTACTATTATCGTTTTCAATTTCATTTACTGCATGGATTGCGTACAATCTCTTTTGTAATGGAATCAGACAAAAAAAATAAAAAAAAATAAGCCAACGTACTAAACTTTGATTATTATTAAATGTGAGCAAAATTTTCATCACTTCTCTAAGACGATTGCAATGCAGCAAAATGAGCAAAATTTTATTTATATTAATATTTTGAAGTCTTCGGCCACATATGTAAACATTTTCTTTTGTTAAATTATAATTATCATTATCATGAAGAAGAAGAAGAAACAAAGTTTAATAATAATTTATTCACTAAATTGTGCAAATCTTATCAAACTGACTGCACTTATAAAGGTGTACACAATCTCAAATTATCACTGATAATATTAAGCCCTTAGAAGGTCAAAATTCACTTTAATTGCTTATAGTCTCTGTTCACAGTTACGCTTCAAATCGATTCTTTAGAAAATAATTTACTTGATTTGTGTAAATTTTAACTCGCTTAGAAGGTCTCTGGGCTAATCTGATTTCGAATCTGATTGTAGCCAAGAGTGTTGTATGTATTTTTGTTAGTTTAGCTAATACATCGAACAGGAGCTAATAGAATTGCATTGAATGTCATGCCTAAATATGTTATAAGGACAATTAGGCCGCATGATTATTATAAGCGAAAGTCTTAGCGAAAATGTGTGCATAAAATTTTCTTATTTATTTGGTCGACAGGACGTCTGAATAAAAGCTTTATATATAGACCATCAAAGAATGAAGGAATGATTAGATTGAAAGAAACGAATCCTAAGAATTCCATTCTCTTCATCTATATAAAATTTTTAGTTTATTCATGCATGTTTGTCCATACGTCCGTTTGTTATAAAAATGAGTTAAAGTCGCAAATATTGAGATAGATTTCTAAAACTTGGTATAAATAACGTATCCATTTCATGATTCAACTGTACGGACAAAACTTATAACACTATTTACGAGCGTAATTTTTCGGCGAACACGCCTGACTTTGGTGCAGGGAACAAAGGGAAAAAATTCATACTTATCAAATGATTTTGAAAAGTTAACACTAGAGAGATGGTCGTTGCGAATGTCGGCGTAGTGAGTGTAAGAATTTTAAACTACTGCATTTTGAAATAATGAAGAGCCACGAAATCCCCTTAATGCTGATGCTTTGGACTATGAACGACGAAAAGGAATTATTTTGAAAATGTCACAAATAATTAAATTCATAGTGCGTAAGTCGTTATAATTCAATCTCTTAAAAGATAAATTTGCGGAAGCCCGTACTGTGAACCCGGAAACGTAGGGATAAATATCTGGAACCCTATACTTGTAAAATCATTTCTCGCTGTCTAAAACTCGATCACTGATGAAAGGATGATTTATAGTAGATAACATTATGAAGTTGTTGTAAAATCCACTCTACACTTAGTTGACACGCTCGCCGATTGCCTAGTGAGAAAAGATAAATTTTTGGTTAAACAAAAATTCACGACAAGAGAGACTGACTGCTTTGTTCTTTTACTTTTTTTTTCTTATTTTTATAATCTTACCGACGGTAATAAATTAAATGCAATATAAGCTTCCAAAATACTTGTATAGCTAAGTAATAAATTTAAATTATTTGCGCCAACTTGACGAATGAATTACGAAATTTGCATAAAATTAACTAAAATTCCATTCGTTTTATATGCAACACGTTATAGGTCCCGGTATAATTCATTGTTCACTTTATATAGTTTATATTGTGTCTGGGAATTAATTTGTTGTTATTTATATTTATATTTTTTTTATTTAATATTGAAAAATTTTCACAAGAACGCTTTTGCTTTGACTTTAATTGCTATAAAATTTATATCACGTTTGTTTTTTTCCTTTTTTTTTTTCTTTTTTTAAGAGAAACAACAAAAACAATAATAAAAAAAAAGTTAATTAATTTTATAAGAAATCTCCAAATCTTCGTCACATTTAGGGGAAAAAAAAAACAAAAAAAAAAAACACTTTGAAGTTGTATTTCTTTTCAAGATTAAATTTAAATTAATAATAATTATAATATGTTTTCGTTATATTATGTTATTATTTGACACTTTTTAATTTGAATTTTTATTCAAATTATTTACGCCCCGAAATTGCAATATTTCACCTAAAGGCTATTGACCCTTAGCCTCCTTTTGCTTTTTACTTTTTTTTTTCTTTTTTTTTTTTCTCTTGATCACGGTAGATGATAGGGTTGTTATTATATTATTTGCAAAAAAAAAAAAAAAAAATTTTTTATTTTCCTCTTTTAAATTCTTTCCTCTCTCTCTCTCTCTCTTTTAAGGATCAGAATATTTAAATATAAATTTTTGACATATGTGTGCAAGAAAATAATTTATATTTATTTATATTTCTATAATGAGCACGTATACATACACATACATGGACACACGCACACAAACGCATATAAACGCATATACACGCATGCACACTTTATTTAACTTATTATTGCTTTAAAAGCTATTTAGTCGTTGTTGTGATGTCGTTATTGTTATTTTAGCTGTTGTCGTTCTTGTTGTTATTACTGTTGCTGTTGTTGTTGTTATTATTATTATTAATTTGTGTATATTTACTTCCTTACGTTAGCAAGGCCCACAAGATATTAAAATACGAAATGTAAACCGAAATTTGATAAACCTTTAATGCGAGTGTAAGCAATGAGACTGGCTGAGCGCGGCTAAATACTGACACCAGACTAAGAGGACTGACAAACTAATTTACTGACTGGCTGGCTAGCGGGCTGGCTGGCTTGCTGGCTGGCTGGCTGGTTAGTTGTTTGGTTGGCTGTTTGCTTAGTTGATTATTTCAATAAACGGCTGGACAGGGAGACCTGCGAGTGTTCGCTGCGCGTAACACACAAAGCACGAACGAACAAATGATCAAGCGAGCTAACGCAAAACTCCAGCCAAGGAATAACACACTAACAAAAAACAGCGCAAAACTTTTTTCTTATTTTTATTTTAAACAACAACATCGCATAATAAAAAAGAAAAACAAAAAAAACAAAAAAAACACAAAAAAAGAGTTATAACAACAACGACGGCATACACAATAATTTGTTGTCGTCGTCGTTGTCGTTGTTATTACACGACGACGATCATTGTATAAATTTTGCATTTTTTTTTTTTTGGATTTTTGTTTTTTTTTGTGTTTTTTTTTTTATAAATACATATATATATATATATATGTATATATATGCACACACATAGGTATATATTGTTAATATTAACCATTTAAAGTTGGTAGGTTTGTTGTATATATTGAGAATTAGGATTATATGTCGCCACCGCCACCGCCACCGCTGCCGCTGCCGCCACAGTTAAAACCACTGCTTTATTTGTAATCGCGCTATACAACACCATACACTGCGCTCTGGTCAATCAGTGAAAACAATTTGAATATTGGTTGAGAGTTATTGTCCACCCCAGAAAGTAATAGCAACAGTAAGCAGCAGCAGTAAGCAGCAGCAGCAGCAGTCATATGTTGTTGTTATTGTTATTATAATTGTATTTGTTATTCTCATTAATGTTGTTGCACACAATAGCCTCTCAAAGCATTAAAAACAATAACAATAATAATAATCATGCTCGTATTAAAAACTACATATATATATATATATATATATATATATATATATATTTATATATATGTATATTGTCAAAAAAGTACTGGGATTAATTTATTAAAAAGAAACACTTAAGGAGCATTCATATAATGCAATTGGTCGGGTCACATCACCAAAGCAATTAAGTGACTTTTTAAAATCTTTTTTAGTCCTGAGCGAAATTAATCAGGAAGATTGTGATCGTGATTTCCAAAAAAAATTTTTTTTGAAAAAAAAAGAAAATCTTTTAAAAATGTCGAAATTTATAGTATGTTTTTCGCAAGGAGTGGCACTTTGCCAGTTAAGTATTTTTCAGAAAGTATATTGAACCATTGAATAATTCCCGGAATTGTGACTCTTTAAAGAAGAATGGAACGCTTTTAGATGAAAAACCGAATACATGTACAATTCTTTTTTCTTTTTTTTTTTTTTTTTCTATTTTTAAAAGTTACCTTTAAAAAAAAATTCGAAAAGAAAAAAACGCGAGGACTCA